ATCTTTACTATCATTTAAAATGTTTCACAGACAGACAAGCGGAACAATGAAAGGACAAAAAATTAAAGCCTGCGATCCGTTTCAACACAAATTTGTGTTGCTCCGCCCCACCAGTCACAAACACACACGCACATATATATATATATATATATATATATATATATATATATAGGTTACGATGAAGAAACTGTCAACATAATGAAAAAATGAAAATAACACTGACATCTCACATATATATATTTACCAAAATTACACAAAACTATCTTGAAACACTAAAGAATAAATTTATTCAATAAAATCGCCATTGGCTTCAACCACGGTCTCCCGACGACTTCAGAATCTCCTGCAACTCTTCTGGACGGTCTCCTTGTTTAAGTTGGTGAATTCTGCCATAATCCTTGACTTCAGTTCATTTTTGGTGTTACAAGGAGTTTTGTTGGATTCTCGCTCAACTGTGCCCCACACATAATAATCAAGATGGTTACAAGTCTGAGGAATTAGGTGGCTAGATGTAAGGTGTGATGTGGTCGCAGAAATTGTCTGACAGCCATGACTGGGTTCTCTTGCTTGTGTTGCATGGTGCAGGACTCTTCCACCAGCCACCCTCTTGACTCAGGGCAGCATTACCATCTCAAGGCACTTGATGTAGGTCTCCGTGTTGAGTCTGAGGCCCTGTGGAATGATGAATGAAGGCATAACATCGCCCTCACCAGTGATCACTCCAAACACCATGATGTTAACTTGATATATCATCTAACTCTTTCTGAATCATTTGCACTGTTCTCAGATTGACACTGAAATACTTTGAAATGATCATGTTGGCGCTTCTGGCTCGAATACCAAGCAGTACAGCATGCTGTTTTCAAATTTCCGGCGGAGTGAATTGTGTCCTGGTGCTCTTTTCCCCACAGACAGTGCCCAACTGACCCTACTATACTGTGAAGTCGACAAAATCAAAAACAATCAACGTACATGCGCTAAATTAAAAATATAAAATGGCGTCAATTTACCCATGATACTCTGTATATCATGGGACTGCAAAAGTAGGTATATAGTAAGTATTCTAAAACTACTACTTTTACACTGTGTGTGTGTGTGTGTGTGTGTGTGTGTGTGGTTGAATCCTCTCCCCCAAATACTAACAATTTTACAGCATCTTTACAAATAACTGTGAGAACGCATGAAACTTTTAGTTGTAGTCGGCCACTGTTCACAGGGAATTTATTTAGAAATATTAAGGCTCTCTGACAGTTAATATTGAGCTCTCTTTCCCCGGTGTGCCTCTGTCGTAGACTCTCTTAGGAGTTGCTTATTTTACTTAAATTGTATGCCCTGTCATAGGGGACTTTGATGAAACGGTATTGTTGAGTACTATTTTGCTTTTAGCAGTATGCTCCTACTGTTTACATCATGATATGGAGCTCTTTCTCGGCACGCCTGTAAACTTGTATTTGTATGTAAGAGAGAGAGAAAGAGAGAGAGAGAGAGAGAAAATTTACGGCATCTCTCTACACTCGGTGAGTTTGGTTGGTATATGTATACATCAAGTTGTTGCAGGGGATTGATGGACTTGCCAACAGGGTATAAAGTTCCCATTTCCAAATAACTGTTGTCGACTGCCTGATGATTACGCGAGAACGCAGGAAACTTTTAGTTGTGGCCGTTCACCGGCTATGTTTTTCTTTTTGCGAAATATTAAGGCTCTTGTATCTATAATAAGGATCTCTGTGTATATATATATATATATATATATATATATATATAACGAAACGTTTTATAAAAAGCATTTTTAGTTTCCACAATGTATTTCAATTCGACCATTCCTTTTGCATTTGCACGTGAAATCTTGCTGACCGTTGCAATTCTGTATAACTGTGACTGCTATGATTGATAAGACGGCCTTAGCAAAGCATACCTGATCTCAGATCTCACAATTAAATATTACCTCAGTTCCAACAATATCTTTTCCTTATAGCACTTTTCATCTCTGAATTGACAGATAAATATCCTATCAAATCCATTTAATCATTAGCAACTATGTTCCGCTAACGGCCTCTTTCTTTCGCAGATTTTCGTTCCCAGGAATTTAAATGTGTTTTTAGGAAATCTTTTAAATATTATTTATAACGGTTATGGAGTTTACATTGCAAGCGCTTGCTTCTCTCAAGTTTCTCATAGAGAGCTTACTTGGGCCGTCTGCTATATTTGAATATCATTCTTCTGTCATTCCTCTGTCAAGCACTTATGAATATTTCCTCCGAGCTGTTTCGACGTGATTCTCATTTTAGCTTTGCTGCTCGTTTTTGAGCCTGTCCGTCTGCTCAGTCCCATTTATGTTTCATCAACATCTCCTATATTGGTTGCCAATCACAGCTAGAGTGTCCAGTCTACCCTGTTATTTAAACCAAAGTTGTAGTTGGAGAGAAAATATGTATTCATTCTCTTTCGTAACAAGAAGAAAGAGAATGTAACAATCTCGTTCGAAATTCGAACCGCTTTACCGATTTCTCGTTCCAAGCATCTATTATAATACACCAACTTATTCCTATTCTTATCCTAAATCCCTTTTCTGCTTATATCACTTTTAATGAAGCGTTAGCGAATTTTCTGCTTACGTCTTCACCGACATATGCATTTTGCTTTTAGAGTTTAAGACCCGCCGTACATTGAATCGTCGTCTTTGTAGCCCCCGTTCGAATACTTCTCTAATCTAACCCAATTTTTTTTAACTATTATTTTATCTTACGGCACAATGGAACCTATAGTTAAACTTCCGCGCCACAATTAAATTAGAATTATCAACAAAAGTCATTTTTATCATTTATTTATTAACACAAACGAAATTTATTATTAGTAGTAATAAAAAGATAATAATTAAAATTATTAAAGTACTTACAATAAACAGAAAAAATAATAAAATATAATTTAATATTTAATGTGATATCTGAGCTCGTCGTTTTTATTATGCATTTTTAAAAATGTTTTCTGTTCAAGGTTGAAGAAGTTTGGACAAGCATACTCTTCTTAAATCTTCCCTGGATTCTAGCCGTGATCGATTTTTGCTTTTATTGTTTATTGCAGAAGCTTCGCACAAATATGGCGTACACGTATAATTAATTTTAAAAAAAGGTTTTAATTTTGATATGTACACTTATTTTGCTTTGGACTTTTTTCTTTCGCTATTTACTACAGACTGAAGTAAATCCTTATAAAATACAAACATATATTTGCTTTCTTAAACCATTGCATCTTCATCGATTGTTTTACTTTCAAGACCGGTGATTGAAGTCTTGATCCATAATGTTTGGTTGACTCTTTAATCTAAGACAGAGAATAGCAAAGTTTTTTGAAAATGAGCCAGACTGGCACTATTTATGGATATGTAGGCAGAAAATAAAATTATGTATACACTACGTAAGCAAGTTAATATATTCACAATTGTCATGAATCGTGGAAAAGTCTTAAAGAAGACAATCCTTTTTGTATGAACTCAAATAAATGAGGCACAGTTTCGTCTGCAAAAGAGGATTTTGATCTCAACTGCATACAAAATCAAACAGATCGTCACTCCTGTCATTAGTATTTACTTGCTCACCACATGGCGATGAAATGTGGCAAAAGATCGGTTTAAAATGGGGAGCCAAATAGCGTGCACCTGGCTTAAAGCTAAACATTGACGAATCCCTGCAACTAACGTTGCGCCGGCGTCGTCGCTTCTGTCACAAGTATTTGTTTTCATCATATTGTCATTTAGCTATTTATCCAGTCTTTACTCACATATCCACGGTATCCTCACTTCATATTTTGTCTTTTCTCATAATCATTTATTATTATTAATTGTTCACGCAATACAAGGCCCAAGAGACACTCAAAGTTGTGGCTTATTGAATGTAGAACTGTAGAACTACATTTCTGTTGCTTCAAGTCTCCACTTCATCTTCGAGGGGATCGTCCAGCACTCACTGCCATACACGAGGATAGATATCACGTAGTAGTTTAGTACTTTTCCTTGTTTCTAGCTAAATTTTCCTATTTCTAAATACTCCGTTTAGCTTTTGAAATGCTTCCTTGGCTATCATCCCAATACGTATCGCTCTATCCATCCTGATGTTAATACACTTCCCAGATACTTAAACTTCCACACTTGTTTGATTTTGTTATCTCCGATTTGCAATTTGCATTTCCTTTTGCTAACAACCATGTAAAGATACTGTGTTATGAAACGCAGATCGTCATGTAAAGAAGATCTTTGGGTGGCACTTCTTACTAATTGACTAATGGGAATGATTCATCCCAAGGTTGTGTGGCATGGTGGATCCTAACTGTGAAGGTCGGAACTGGTAGAACTAACTTGCTATGGAAATGAGAAGCTAGCAATGGGGAAGGGATTGTAAAGTTGAAAGTAATTATTCTCTCACAATGCCGCGTTATTGCTTCTGAACACTGCTTTTTTTTTTCTTTTCGGATAACATATCAGAAATATGTTTGCAAGTTTGGATAAATTGTTAGAAGATTGATCATGTATGCAAAAGGTCTGAAACTTATGAGAGTAAGCAGCTTCTTTTGTTTAACAAGTTTACAGACTAAACTTAGCAATTGGAAGACAGATGAATATTGTTGTTGTTTCAAGTACGAAGTTACGTCTATTAGAGCTAATTTTAAACTATATTTTTAAAAGTATTTTTGCAGATAAAGTTTAAACCTCAATATCAAGCGGTTTTAAACATGACATATTAATTATTGATTTTCTATGGCGTATTATCCTTTTGCAGGTTAATTATAGCCATTTTATTTTTAGATTGTAAGAATTTTTTTCCACAATAATAGTTTACTCATACAGGTCTTACTAATTAACCCATAGCTGGGGGATAGAAGATATGGATTCATACCTTTCCCAAGCTTATTTTACATGTAAATGAATATAAAAAAAAATGAATGGAATTGAAACTCGACTGTTCAATTTTGAGTCATTATCCATTTTACTACCTGCACATCCAAGCTTTCAGTACCTAGTATTCTCAAGTGGTCACCCATCTGGGTACTGACCAGGCTTGACATTGCTTAACTTTAGTGATTGTATGGGAGCTAATGTTTCAACATGATATGGCCGTAAGCTCCAACCTTATAGCACCTAGTATTCCCAAATGGTCACCGATCAAGTTTGATGTTGTTTTGTTGATCATACCAGTGTTTGAACATGATTTGCTCGTAAGTCTGAACATGACATAGAACATAGTTAACCAATTAGGGTAAAAGATTGTTTGAAAAGAGCCATATTTTATTTCTTGGATGGATTTGTAGTAACAAGAAAAAGCAATCGATCACTTGTGAGAGTAGCTGGGAGGTGATATTGACAGAATCAGAGAAGAAAACAGACCAGGAGCAGGAAAGGCTGTATTTTAGGTAAATGCACGGTAAGGAGCATTACCAACCTGGAACCTGAAATAAGAATTCGTTTTGGCTCAATTTCACAGATAACACACACACACACACACACACACACACACACACACAAAAGTAATTGTTTAGCATTCAAAATGTTTTAACCTACTATCTTTATCTTTGTTATTTTCATAAAGTTTTTTTTTATTTTTTATTATTCAGTATATTCTTCATGTTTCCTTATGTTTCTGCTTCATCTGGAACAGATTCGTACATTTCTCCTTTCACAGATTATACAAAAACAAATTTAATGAATGCTTTCAGTGTCATTCTTTGTGATGATTTCGTCTGTTGTGTCACCAGAGTTTAACTCTATTGAAATCGGGTTGAAAACAGTTTGAATTTTCTAAAATAACAAAAACCAAAGTAAATGTTATCCTCTATGGAAATACATTCAAATATTTTGGACATTTTGTAAATCATTCTCCCATAGATCAGTGCTGTTCTTTAGTTCCATCCTGGTAAAACCTTTACGGCTAGGACGTGGATCTTGCTATTTCCACAGATTCAAATCACTCTAGTTTCCTTTGCATTCCAAATGGAAGGAGATAGTTTCACTAAGTTTTTTTCACAAGAACTGCCAACCTTTATGTCTGCTTTCCTGAACACTTTAATCTGAACCTTTCCAAGTTAAGGATCAATTATTATCTATCCTCCTTATCCTCATGAACTTCACTTCCAGTTACCTCCTCTACACTTCATTTATCATTAGCATTTTAACAGTAATCCAATACTTTGAGTGGCTCTTGAGCCTTGTATTGGGCGAAATTTTGTAAAGTAAATAAAATAAAATTTCATTGATATTTATTCAAACGAAGTATTGTAAAATATTTGATAAAAAAATGTTTTTGTTTTTTTACAGTGAGGTTCATCCAAGTACAATGGCCAGGGTCCACTTGAGGTAGAGGATTATAGTAAGGGTCAGTTTATGTGGATAGGAGGGGAAGATAATGATTAACACTTGACTTGAACAGGTGGTTGAGGAAGCAGCAGTGGTTCACAGGAAGAAGCTGTTTGAGTGGGACTTATTTCTCACCGACAGGATACAGAAGGCATGTGGTTGGTTAGAAACAATGTGGGTGGCATGGTGGGTCCTTGCCATGAAGCTTAGGACTGGCAGAACCAAAGAATGCAGTTTATCTGAACAATTTCCATGGAAGTAGCAATACAACAGTGAGAGACTTGGTACATCCTGCTTGTCAAGGAGAGGTTGAAGGGTGGAACACAACTTGTCACCTGCCACATGTTTCTTGACCAGAGTCAATGTTGCATACAGCCATCTTTGATAGTTGTTTTAGTACATTTTACTTTCTCATCTCTTCAAAGTCAATTTTTTTACAAGTCTCAAGTCATTCAAGGTAAAGTGTTACAATCAAAATGTTAATTATGACTGAGCAGGGAGTGAAGATTATGAGCAGAGATAATAAATGACCTTTAACTTTAAGCTCAAGATTGAAGTGTTTGGGAAAGCATCCATGAAGGAATCTGTTCCACACAGTAGCAGTCCTCCTTTAAATTGTCTAAGTGGAACTTTCTCCAGGCATCTGGAATATGGAGGAAATGGTTTTTGACTTTGTGGATGTAGCATTGTCTGTTTTAGCTGTAAAAATCTGAACTGGTGGAACTAAAGAACGGAGCTCATTTGGACACTTGCCATGGAAATAGTGACAGAGTAGCGAAAAGCTGGCAACATTTGCATCTGTTGGGGAAAGAGGTTGTAGAATGGAAAACAAGTCATCCCTTTGAATTCTATCAAGGCTGGAAAGTAAGAATTATACAACTCCAGCCTAGACATGGTACCTGTACTCCATTTTTGATCTAATCCGACTCTTGTAAGCATGGCAGAATGAGTTGGTTATCTTCTGGAATGATAGAATGAGCTGATCATTTTCCAGCATCTTTAGAATTGGTTTGTGTATTTTACTTCCACAGAAATAGATGTTCAAGGCAATGTTCAAATGCAACCTTTCATTGTGACTGAACAAAACACGAGGTCTGAGTGGTGATGACAAAGAAAGTTACAATCTGGTTCTAACACTTTCAAGAGAACAAGTCAAAGTTAGTGGAAACCTGAATATTCAGAACAGAATTGAATTCTGTTTATTGAAATTGATGACAATTAAAATAAACAATCCCAACACAATTGATTAATGTAGAATTCTTTATTTGTCATCCAACTCCATCTCCAGCATCTCAGATTTGCAAAACAGTTACAAAAATCAAAATCTACAAGGGTGGGGGAGATATGTTGTGATGCTACTTAAATCAGCACACATTTGAACCCTAGTTTTTGGTTGTAGCCGTAATACAACTTTTTTTTCTTTTTTCTTTAAATTAAATTTTTATAGATTTGTTTCTGCAAGGACACTACTATCTGGCCACTGATTCAACAATTAAAAAAAAGTTTTTAAGTTTTGAATTCTGTATACTAAAAAAAATTAAAGAAAAAATGACAACTAAGATTGTTTAAACTTTTGAACCAGAAGCTGTCAGTCGGTAAAAATGTTAAGAGAAGCAACTATCTAAATTTAAGAGAAATATATGAGTAAATATCTTTAACTTGTAGATAGAGTAGATTTTACAAGTACACAAATGAACAGGTTGCAGTGGAAATGGGTACAAAAGGGCTCTGCTAAATTCTAGATACCTACCCTGGGGTTCAATTGTGAACCAAGGACAACATTATAAATTAGCAATCATCTTTACCTGGAGTCAGAGCGCTTACTCTAAAATAAGGGAAGTTAAAAGGAGGTAACAAAAATACAAGAGGGTCTAATTTGGGTGAATTCACTTGGAGTAGGTAAGAAAGATGGTTTCTAGGGAGGATTGTTTATAAATGAAAGAGAGAAAATGTCTATTCAGAATGTGAAAAAAAGCTACTGGTTGGATTTTGGGAAAAATTTGAATAAATTTCTCAGTTTTATTTTTTTAACATAAAAACAAATACATAAACGATAAATAAAAAATGCTGATTAAAATGCTTATTCTACAAGAAAATGAAAAATAATTGAAAAATGGATAAATCATACATATATATATATATATATATATATATATATATATATATATATATATATATATGCAGGCATGCCACCTGGGTAGGCAGTGCCTACTACAAATGTTAATGATTAAATATAAAAAAGAAAGTAAAAGATTTTAAGAATTCATTTGACATATTAAATTGAATGCATAATTCACTAAATGCTTATTATTTTCATTTTAGTCAATTTCTTTTCTCTACTGCCTATTAACACCTGTATATATAATATGCATCCCAATGTCTAGCTGACATACTGTGGATGCTGCTACATGCCACATTTGATAATTGGTGATAAAAGCAACAGAAATTCTACCTTTTTTCAATTAGACATCTTCTGCAATATAAAAACTAAAGTGAACATTTTGTAGAAATCTTCCTTCTCCTTCATTAAACTGTATCATTTAATTTTCTTAATGGATAGCCAATTTTTCTATAAATACTTTCTTAGAAGGATAAATCTTTTGCTGGCAATGTTCTAAAGGACAAACATCTGTATACTCAAAGCTATGACTCATGGCACATGTCTTGCATGTATGTTTGTGAGGGGATATATATCTGAGAAAGTGGAAAAAGTTTTCTTGTGATGTGTTTCATCCTTTAGGACTTTAACAGACTAAATTTGTTATGTTGGTCTGATGATGTCCTAAGAGACAAAATACAGCACAGGAAAACTTTTTCCAATTTGTCATACATTTTACCCAATATATATATATATATATATATATATATATATATATAATCCAGTAAAACTGCTCAATATCAGAGATAGATCAATTACTCTAAAATAAGGGTAGATAAAAGTAAGCAACTACCTCATTACCCATAATGCACCATTGAACAAATTGTTTAGACAAAACGCAACAAACATGGCCTGAAAATTGTGTTCAACAGACTGTTGCCACTTGGTGTTGATCTGTGTCCCCACACACAGACACACACATATATATATATATATATGTATATATATATATATATGCGCATCTGTGTATGTGTGCTAAAACCTTTTACAAGGTATTATTTTTACCTAAGTTTGATTAAAGGTGACAGGACATTAGGTTTTCTACTTTTTTTGTTTGTTTGCTTGAAGAACTGGTATTTTAAATGTAGTTAACAACTGATAGATGCATTTAGTGCAGTGAAGAATTTTGCTTTATGTCACCTCATGTATAACATCATCATAATACTGAGTTTAAAAGTATTCAAAAATCAAAAAAATACTTCCACACTTTTTTTCCTTATTTTGGTAATGGTCAGAACAATGGTTGAAAGTTCTATATCACAAATATTTAAATAATATTTACACTCATTGAATACAGACATGTTCTCTTGTACTTAAGATAATCATTTTTTCTTTAAATTCTTTATCAATGGTTTTTCCATTACATTAATGAACTGCTGACTAAATACATTATATATAATGTGTTAGACTTTTTTATGCAAGTCAATATTTTAATAATAAAATTAATAATAACAAATGAATGTTGCTAAAATTTTCAGGATATTCTTTATATGAGGAATGGACTGTGAGTTCCAAATGGTAATTAAATATTTTAGTAACATTAGGTTTTCTTATGCAAAGAAACTTAATGCAACAAAAAAATGTTATTTATAGATAAATCCAAAAGATATAGGCTATAGAAACCTATTTGATTCACACAGTATGCTAAATAACTGTTATTGCTTTTCCTAGTATTGATGGGGGAATTCCCTTCTAACCATTTTTTGCTTAAAATAGTGTGGAACATCAATATCTTGACTATCATTATTTTCTTTTTGATTTACACGTACTATCTATTTTAGCTGTTGCTGCTGTTGGAAGTCTTCAACTGAAATCCTCAAAATTTATTGATCATATAATCAAATCATGAAACTTTTACCAGAATTGTTTGGTTAGTACCAATTTATGAAAACATTTACTTGCATAATAAAATCTGACTTGGTGTATTTGAAAAATGTAAGAATGCTGGAAAATGAAGTAAAAGAAAATTAATTAAATTTTCCTTCTCTGTCATATTTAACAAAAGAAAGTATATATATATATATATATATATATATATATATATATATATATATAATAAGCCAACCAATGCTTATTGTTCCTCTTCAAGAGCCGTGGATTCATGCTTTTGTGAAAGGCTTTAATGCTAAGTGGACAACATAGGAATCATAAGTAAGACTTCAAACGAGATAAATTCAGTTTCTTTTACTCATAACAATTACACCACATGTCTGTCATTCCATACACACAATATTTATAGACAGTTTCCTAAAACTATAGAATGAAAAATGAAATATCCACCAATGTATTTTGTCATGGTACACTTTAAAATCTCAAACAAATTAATCTGTGTCACCCTGTTCTCTGTCACCCTGTACTGTGTCCCTCTGTGTGTCACCCTGTTCTGTGTCTGCATATAATGAAATCTTAATCTGAGTTTATAAAGCTAAAAATAAAGAAAACTGAAAGTGCTCAATGCTCAACATAGAAATCTAAGATCAGATTAAGATATAAATCTCATGATTCACCCACTTGTGCTGTCTTTTCAGGTTTCTATGCGCCAAGAGGTGAACATTTGGGAACTTTCAAAATGGAGGTGCCATAGGCAAAAGCAAGAAATAATGTTGGCAAATTATTCCTTTCAATACTGTCAATATGTATATGAGAGAGAGAGAGAGAGAGAGAGTTTGAGATGAAATTGGTTGATATATATAGATCAATATTAATACTGAGTAAAATGTCAATTGCTGATTTAACAATTGCAAGAAAGGAAGATGATGCTATGCCTTCTGTGAAAATCATCATTCAGATTTTTGCATTTACATGAATTTGAACACTTGCAATCAGTGCCTGAAGCAAATACACAACTATCTCACACACTGAGCAGCTTGATAGCTAGATAATGGAGTGAATGAAAGAAGGAGGGAGAGATATTGGACTGAATGAGAGATACAATTGTAAAGATTGGAATTGGATAAATAGATGATATGAACAAAATAAGAGACATGTTGGTTGGTAGGTAGATATATATGTATCTACATTTATACATGATACTGACTGAGTACACTTTTTATTTTTTTTAGTTTAGTAAGTAAATTTTCATTTTATGATAATATTTATTTACTTTGTATTTCTAAATTTACCATTTAAATATTGCTTCCTATTGCCCATCTCTCTTGAGTAATGTTTTCTCAGTTTCTTTCAGTCACCCCCCCCCCTGCATCTTAGGTGCTTTATTGCCTTGCATGGAGTGACATGATAAAAAAATTACTTTTATTATTATAAATTGGTTGTTTGGTTGTTTAGTTGTTTCTGTTTAACAGAATATCAAAAATATGGGTTATTTAATGCCGAAATCTAAATATTTGTACACAATTTTATTCTATTTTTTTAGAGATAATAATGATTTAGCAATACAAGTTTTACTAATTAACCCATAGTTGGTAGAAGAAGAGATGGATTCATACCTTTCCCAAGGGTAATTATGCATAAGTGAATATAACAAACCCAACTGGAATTGGAACTTGGTTCTCCCATTAAAAATTCTGAGCCATTATACATGAAACCACTTGCAAATCCAAGCTTACAGCACATGACATTCCAATGTGGTTACCCATCTAGGCACTGACCCGGTTCAACATTGCTTAACATCAGTGATCGGACAGGAACTGGTGTTTCAATATGATGTGGCCGTATTGTTAGTAGATACTGGTATTTGAAATAAACAAACCATTTTTATTTTATTTTGAACAGTGTATTTTATATCTAAAAGTCTGTGCATTGGAGAAATCTTTATAAAAAATACGTACTCTGCGACAGGGAAAAATGGCACATCTATTTCAAATATGTGGATCCACTATAATAATGTTTGCATGTCAGATTAAAAACAAATTGATTAATTCTTTATAAATTACTTTTTACATTATTTAAATATTCTTAAAATATTTAGATATTATCACTTTTTATATTATTAAAATAGTATTTCTTATACATAATGCAATAAGAAATAGAAAAAAAAAG